TGGACTACCTTCATTTTAGCATCTTGGCTCAACCTTGGATCGAGTTCGACGTCCAAGCTTGAACTAGCGTTACAAACCAAGGAATAACCAAGGTTGGTACAATCTTGAATTCCAAGCTTGAGCCAAGCTAGGTTAGGCTTGGTCCGAGCTTGGCCCAAGCTCGGACCAATGGTTAATCCCCACCTGGGCTGTACCATGCCGTATCATCACACTCTCCGGATTGCCTCTCCTTTCCCCTTCTCAAAAATTGATTCATAAAAAATATGAGCCTTGAGCGACATTCAACCATCGGCGAAGCTGATAGGGAATGCCGAGCGACGTATTGAATCGAATTTTTCTTTTTTATTGTCATCCGAATCGTAAATGTGGGGCAGTGTTAACGGTAATTGTCCACCACCAATTAAATCGAGAGAGTAGTTAACGATTAATTAATTATTGAAATGAATGAGAGGTCTATCAATCTTTCGCAGGAGATACTCGGCAGGAGCCTACCAATAGTCTCGCACGGCCTCTTCTAGAAGGTCTCTTGGAAGTATGGCTACATATACTGGCATTAAGCAGGACTCTTTCAGGGGCGCAGACTTTTTGACATAATTTTTCATCCCAAATAATTTAAACTGCCATCTTTGTAAATTTAATCGACCTCGGGACTGGAATTTAAAGAAATTTACAAAAATGGGAAATGAAAAAATAACCAAAAATATAATCGGGGCGTGCAAATCACTCTCGAGCTAATATCGGTAAAGGATACGAGAGAAGTAAGTTTTCGTCGCTTTTCCATTACTTATTGCGGAAGTGCAACTTTTACCGCGATGTTGTAGGAAAATGACAGTTGTTTGCTTCCGAATGGAAGCATTGCAATCGTCTAATCCCGATCGAAAAAAATCCAATTTTGCTTGGAAACGATGTAGAATGCTCTGCAATACCCGTTTTTGAGAAATCGTGATTTGTTTACAATTTTTTTTTTCTAAATATTTCAAAACCTAAGGAAGAAATTCAGTTTCTTTATATTTTATTTTTTTCGTCATGATAGGTTTTAATAGAATCAATCAAAAATTCCAAGGTGAACCCTGAAAGAAATAATAATTATTGTCACGTTTATGCTTTTGAAATAAAAATTATTGTTCGCTCTCTCACTCGCACAACGATTGAGCTATCAACGTCAAATTTGGACGAAATAGTCCTTTTATTCCTACAACGGATGGTATTGAAAATGAGCTTAATTGAAAAATTAGTTTCGGAAATATTGAATTTCGGATGTAAAATTAATATGTGGAATATCTCAAAATGGACAGGATCGAATTCGTTCTGTTTTATATGAAAATTTTCGTCTTGATATCCTCTATCGCAATCAATTAAACTGTATATCTTTGCCAATACATAGTTTGTGAAAAATTTAGATTTTTTCATTCTCCAGTTCAAATCGTTGTTCGTCCTTTTTACTATCAGAAATACTTTGAAATTATGTATTTTTTTCAATGTACAATGGACACCCTACATAACTAACCCATTAGTGATCTAGGAAATGGTAAAAACTTTCAGACGTATAGGTTTCCTTCAGAAATGGAAAAATTTATGACTATTCTGAAAAAAATATTTATGTCATTGCGGCCGGTAAAACGCGTTTCTAACCTCGCTCCGCTCGGATAAGAACGCGTTTTCGGCCACAATGACATAAAATAGCATCATAGCCACGGCGAAAAAAGTGATTCTGACTCATGCGCGTTATAATCCTCGTCTCCGACTCGGACTATACAGTCGCATTCGTCAGATTCCCTTTTTCCGTCCTAGGCGTAAAACATACTATTTTATGATGAAGAATTTAGTTTTATGAAGGTTCTTAGTGTGTCACTTAAAAAAAAATACATCCCATCATATTTTTTGACGATTTCATAAGTCGACTTCGAAAATTTAATTTTAGTTTTTTTCTTAGTGTTCAAAAATATCCTCTAATATTTATGAGGAAACAGTAACTATAATGTTGGGAAAAAAGTGGAATATATGAACAATTCAGCAATAGCCTTCAAGCTAAAGACATTGAATTCGATTTGACAGGGAAAAAAAGCGCAACATGAAACTTTCCAAAGTATTCGATGAAATTCAATATGTTTAAACAACATGAAGAGAAGAAAATTAAAATTGTTTAATTTTTCAAATATTGTATTAATTAAAATTTTCATTAAATAAAATTAATTAAACTCAATTGGAATGAGGATAATTAGAATTATAAAAAACTTTAATGTTTTTGTCTCTCCAGTATAGAGGAATCTGAATACAACACAATGATAATCGATTGTTTCACTTCGAAGAAACAATAATAAAATTGAAATTAAAAATTTCTAATGTCACAGATGAAAACATTTCTGGCTCAACATTACATAACAGCAAAATATCACAACAATAAGATCGCCGGACCACAATTTTTGCCAGTACAATCTAAAATTTTATAGGAGATCGGCAATTAGTCTACAAATTATCAATATATCTTTATTTCAAGCATATTGTAATATAAATTGAGGCCTCTCATTTTTAAAACAAAATAGAGCTGAAATCTCATTTTCTTCATTTTTAATTCAAATTTTCAATCTGATGCTGAAAATATTAGGTGGTATATGTCAAGCGCGCAGTTATAATGATGATATGGATAACAGATTAATTAAATTAGCGCATGAATTAATTAAAAAAGTTCATAATGGTGTTGGCATGTATTTTCACTAAAACAGCAACAACCATTGAAGTTTATAAATTTAATTTGCTACCTTTGAAGAAAAATTGAATAGCACGTAAGCAAGTCATTGATTACAATATAAAAATTAGCTGCTAATAAACTCTGACTTATTTTCTGTGGCAATCAGAATAATAATTAAGAATCAATTCCAAAAGTAATATTGAATGTGACAGGAAAAAGAGCATAAAGGAGGAGGCATCCACAACTCCACAGGAAAAAACTCTCGCGTTACTTGAATTGTCATTCCATACATTCAATACTATTACTGGGTATTTTTGATTGATAAAGCAATTATAATTGTTCACATGAATTTAAGTTAAATATTTTTTTTAGAAAAATAGAATAATTCAGCTTCCATAAGGTTACATAGCGTTTGTTCGGAACAAAGTCGATTAGGATCAAAACAGCTGAAATTATGCAATTTTCTGATATTTTTCAAATATTGAGTCTGCGGAAAATTTAATTTCCACATAGTGAAAATATTCTATTAAAAACAAAATTCCTAAATTTGATTATTCCAGAAGGGCTGCGACTCAGCGGAGCTATAGTGTCTTTATAATGGATGGTATTGAAGATGCCCATAATTGAATGATTTTTATGCAAAATGATTATGTGGATAACCTCAAAATTGACAGGACCAAATGAGTTTTTTTAATCTAAAAATTTTATTGTAATACATTTTTAATAGATACACCATTGAACATTCTTAATGGATCAAACCTAATAGGGAAAAACATACTGTAAGAACCATTCGAAAGCTCACCATCAATTTATTGACGGCAAAATGTTATCTTTCGTAACAAGGGCGGGAAAGTTATTTTTGGTGTGTAGGAAATTTATAGCGCGAGCTGAAGGCAATGTGGTATAATTCCACATGCCAAAAATAACTTTTTGCACGAGTTGCGAACAGTATTTTCTCCACAATGTGCGGGAAAATCACTTTTTTCTCAAGAGTAAGGAAAGTTACTTTTTGGTACATCGTTCGTGATGAAAAATATATATCCATGCATTTCAATAACTCATCCCCCGTCGCATAACTGCCGACGCCTGCTTTTTTTTTAAGTTACATACACAAAAATGACATACGATGACATTTCGTTTAAAAAATCGCATTTTACATTTTCGCAAACGTACTTTACGATTTGAGTTGAAACGTAACTGGCTTTGAAAATTGTCATACATGTGGGTTCCATAAACGCCATTTACTCTGTTACTCCAATAGTGAATTCGTTTCCGAAAACGTCAAATTAGTATAGTTCTTTAGCTTTTAGCTTTTAGCTTTCAACTCATGGGGTTATATCACTTGCCTGCGTTTCGTGCTATAAACCCCCACGAGCTAAAGAACACTTTGCTGCACTTGTATCGAACAATATATTTCATCACAATGTGTGGATTAAGTGACTTATAGGCATTTTTAGAACCGTCAACTGTGTCCATGAAGCTACTTTATTCGCACAGCGCAATGAAAATTATTTTGTTCTCTTTGTGCAACGAAATATTATATTTTTCCTAAAAAATGGTATTTTCCCTACTCTTATGATCCATTTTACTATAACGGAGAAATAGCCAAGAATGATTTTTTTATGAACGGGTTCGTCAAATTTCATTCTCATGTGCCCTCATGACTCTCAGATGGTGACAAGAAAAAACATATTTTTCTTTACATTTGGAAAATGTCTTGGAAATGACATTTTATTTCTCAATGACCTTTCGTGGAGTAAAATTTACGACGTAGTTATTATTCAACTTTTCTCTCCGTGCATGAAAGGAAAATGAAAAAAAACGGATACTTACATTGATATGATTATGTTGAATGGATTGTCCCATAGTCTGCGATGGATGCTGGTGCTGCATCTGATTATGCCCAGGATGAAGACCTTGTCCATTTCCAGGTGGCGTAGGTGTAGGTGGTAATTGTCTTTTGATATGCGCTAAAGATGCGGGTGGATGCAGCGCCATGTTCGCAAATACTAGTCTCTCCTCATAATCATATTCACAGAGAATTTTATTCTCACAAAGATAAAACCTATCCCCTACGCAGAATCTGCAACATGAGCAATAAAACGTTCCATTTACATGACTGGTGATAATCGTTCGGAGAAAAATCGTTAATTACATGAGGGCATTCGCCAGAATTGTTTGAGAAGATAAAAAACCGAGCGCCTAGAGGACATTTCCGAAGTGATAGCAATAGAGATGAGTGGAGGACTGATAATTACGGCCATCAGAGGAATGCCAATTAAATGGAAATTAAATGAAAGATAGAGCCAACTGGTGTTTGAAAGAAAAAATCACTTGTTTACTGAGAAAAATTTGAATTTCAAATGAAGTATGCGGTAGAAGAATATTTTCTGGCTAATTCCAATTATCTTGTGAGCAGGAATTTAATTATGAAGAACCAGTGAAGGCATGTATTTCTGATAAATTATAATTATCTTTCGTCATTATTATTATTATTAAATTTATTAATGAAGATATGATAGAAGTGCCTTTCGATTTGATTTTATTTTGTTGTGGACAATTAGTCTTCGGCGGTCAAAATTACTGCAAGCGCAAAATAATTATCATCCATTTTCCTCTGTTCAGTTAAAACCCTTCCCTCTCTCCGCAAAAAAAAAACTATTCACGCGTGGTAAAGCTTTGATCCAGCTTGGAAACACCAAACGTCGAGTGGTCTGGCACGAAACTGATATTCATAATCGCTGGGTTATGGAATGACGAAGTAGAGGGGTAAAATAGAATTATCACCATTTGCACCGCCGGTGTATGAACTCGTTCTCTGGGAATTTGGTTCATGACTGTGAGCCCGATTATACGGAATTGTCACCAGTGAGTGAATTCTCGGATACCTTTTGAATGCTGCTGTTAGATGATACGTATTTTCCACGATTTTACAGTATTTTTTTTCAATAACGGGATTGTTGTTTTATCAGGAAAGCATATGAGCGTTTTTTTTGTTTCAGGCAATGTATGGTTGTTGGAAAATTTCAAGTGGAATCGACAAACCATCGGAATTATCGCGGTGAATTATACTTTTGCTTTCAAATAGAAGCCTTGTGATCACTTCATTTTACGCATGAAATTTTTTTTCTTTGAATGACTAACTTCGGCCTTGAACGTCTTCATACAACTCTTTAATTAAGGCAGACGAATCTTTTAACTCGAAATTTCAAATTTTTCAAATCAAGACAACTGATTTTTTGTTATTAAATTTTGGATTAAAGAATGAATTTTTTTTAAATGTCTGAGTGACCAACAAGTTTTTCGATAAGTACTTATAAAAGAATTGTCAATATCATTCAACCAAGGTTTAATGGATTCAGTTCAGTGCTCTTTTGAGCGAGTTCGAAGTTGGGCACTATCGCTTTATTGATTTTCTGAATTTGCTACATTGTAATGTCGGTTTAATGTCGATGCAGTGTTCGCTTGATGTTGGCCCGAGGTCGGGCTAATGTTGGTCGAGTATCCGTGTAAGGTAGGCTCAAGATTGTTGAGAGTAAAGTTAATTCACAAATTAAACTGAATATTTCAACCAATTTAAATATTAAAAAAAGAATTCAGTTAAATAAACATTTTTTTTCTAGGAACTTGAAAATTGCGGGATTAAGATAATTTTTAATAAGAAGAATGATTCATCCAATCCTTTTGCTATTAATCGAGCTGCATTCGTATTTTTTTTAATCAATTCTTTAATATTTTATTAAATGCATAGCCATTCGGAAACAGATTGTTCATTTTTTTAACAAAAAAGATCATATATAAAATCATAAGAATATCCCACTTGTTCAGTCTCATATAGACATGAAAATTAATGATTACTGAAAAATTGAAAAAATGAAGTGATTCGTAGGCAAAAAATTTTACAGAATATGAAAATTCGAAGTTTCTTCATTTTTCATTCCGAATTTACGAGGTAGCTACGTAATTTTTATTGAATATTTCACTCCATATAAATTGCGCGCTGAAATATATATGACCAACGATATTAAAAGTGCGAATCACAAAAATTTATGAATTTATTTAATGCTTAAAAGGTACAGTCCACGAGTACCTACTACGTAGTTGGGAGACCAAGGTTTCAAGCCCCAACTAGTTTTTGTTCTCAAAATTTTAATTCTATAAATCCTTGAAAATGTTTTTCAATCACAATTACGATTTCCACACCATATTTAACGATTCAGCTCTTCGACTGTTTCCTCCCCGAAAAAATATATATGCTAAAGATATGTGAGGTTAGCGCCTAATCTCGTTTCTCGATATGCTTGTAGATGGCGCTAATGCGCAGGGTTGCCTTGGTTGCCAACAACTTTGAAACAAACGTTCTTTTCATTAGGACACTAGAGGTGAGAGTTCACTATATTAGACTAGAATAAGTACAGTTCTTTATATTAAATAATATACCTGCATATTGGAGGTGAATAATAATCCAAATATCGAAAACATGTATATATGGGCGTAATATATTTGTGCTCGGATGACCTTTATTTGCAAAAGTTGGAAAATTTGAAAAGAAAATGGTCAATTTGCAGAGTGCGTCGAAGCAGTCGGGGCACAGAGGGACCACGACAACATTGAAATATTAAGCCCGGGGTGACGGGAAGGAAATGACGCGAGTGGGACCAACCACTCTCTGCATGGAAAATTTCAATCTGGGCCGCCCACCCGCGCTCAGATAACTCGCCTGAATCTTTAACGAGGGTCCCCCGCTTTCCGTTCTTCTCTCCTCCCGCCAACCCTTTTACACTTTGCCGCATCACAGGAAACGTAGGAAGGTGTCAGAGTGAATTTCCGTGGTCAGGAAAACGACGCTGACAGGACAGATGGAAGTGCCGTTCTCCCAGTCCCGTTGACGATGAATAAATAATGAAAATAGCAGAGTCAGTGCAGCTGAGAGAGTGCCAATGGGTTTTGGAGTCTCCATTAGGACCACTTTACTACCTTAGTACATTTGGAATTGTCAAATAGACTAATTCGCCCTGGTGGATTGCATTTTCACCTATCAACGCTGATAGAAAAACATTGTTTCCGTCATACCTCCACGGAAAGTTCGATTTTATCAGATTTCTGTTGGCTCTAATGGTCCTCAAGATGGCATAACCTACATTCCTCCCGTTATTTAGGAAGAAAAATGAAAAAAAATTAATTAATAATTTATTAATTTGTCAATTTAATTTGAAGTCATATTACTCTCGAAAATTATCGTTTTAGAGAAAAAACCCCTTTTGGAAAGTTACTTTTAACATTTCAAGTAGAGAAGGCATAAGGTATCAGCATTGCTGGAGTTCTAATTTTATTTAATCAAAAACGTCACAAATGTTTATACAACTCTTTGAACAAAAAATGATAGAAACCCAAAAAAAATTAATCAGTTTCAATTTTACTAGTGAACAAAGTTTTTAATGTCCTTTAAACTAATTTTCATGAATTTGATGCAGTCTTGAAACTATGATTGAAATATCGCGGGTTTCCGACTAGAATATTACATTACGCAACAAGTACGTAAATTTCCATTAAAAAATCTACAACGCTCATGTTTCGTATACTATTTCATGTCATTGGGTCCGTAATCCGTGATTCTACTGAGTGAACCGGCTGAGTGGATGTCACACCAGGGTCGAATGTTGTATAAGTACTGGAGCCTGCTATCAGGCATGGTTGATTAGGTATACATACGGCCCACGTCTGACTTGCTAGCCTCCGACAATTGTCGTATTTGGCTTACGCCTTATGTACAAGTTTTTCCCGTTTTTCGACACATTTTTTTTTAATTTTTGCTATAGATAGCTCTTAAAATTCCCTCCAAAATGAGCACAACAAAAAACCAATCGTCACTTTCTGAGCTGAGATATGATTTTTTGAATTAACATGGGTTCAAATGCATTTCACCGTTTGTATTTAAAAAAAAAAAAAACCACTCGACATTTTTGAATGAAATTAACACAGAACGTAGAAATAGTGACCACCAATATACTGAAAAAAAAAGAAAGTGATCGTCAGTTTCGTAGTAGAACAATAAATTTTCAAACTAGCATTATTTCTCCCAGTGAGGGGAGCGCATGGGTTTGTTGCGCGCGACGCGACAACAACGCTTTTTGCTCGAGTGGCGCGAATCTATTTGGAATAGTCAATGACGAATCAAAGGGACGATTCATAAATAAAATAAATACATTGAGTGAGAAAGAGAGAGACATGAAAACAGAGACACGCTGCGCGCGGTTGCCACGATCGGCACCATTTAGCGTTAGCTGTGTGTAGATGTATCCATGCATGTACACCCGCAAAAGTTTATATTCTAACTCGTATTCTCCGCTTAGCGGAAGATCAACCCGGAGCGTAGTAAATTTTAAGCCTGACTCTCTCGCGACAACAGCCTTAAATGAGGCTGTCTGTCCCCGACATTCCCTGCGTGCTATGAACCTGGCCCTGGTTTGAATGAAGTAAGGCCTTCCAGTGTGCCGTATGTAATATATGTTCGGTCCTGATTCCTAAATAGGCCTACCGTTTCCCAGGATTTAGTCTACGCCTGTCAGATCCTGATCTTAGGAATTAACTATACCGGCTACCGTGGATCACGAATCTTGAACGAATGTAACTTAATATTATAAAAGCCATGGTATAGTAGCCACGCGGAGGGTGTGGGACCGGCAGTCATCCAAGCTGAGCCACGTTTAGTCGGATTAGTACTTGGATGAATGTCCGCATAGTACTTCTCGATGTGGGTCTACCGGCGTTAGGCACGCCTGCAGAGAACTACTGTGTTCACCGAGTCAGTGCGACTTACGAACACAGGAGAACCCCTGCATTATCGGCTGGCTGTATAACTAATGTCTTCCAGGGTTTCCCTCAGTAGAAGTCAAATGGGAGCAATAACCAAAGTCGGTTCATGGTACCGCAAAAACAGACAGAGAAGGGTACCAGAAGAGGCTCAAAGCCTTAAGAGGAGAGGTGCCTACAAAACCGTAATTGGTAGTAGGAAATGAGAGACATAACCATGTCAAGAAGAATTTCAAAAAAATTATAAAAACTTGAAATTAATGCAGCTCGGGTCAATATTGATAAGTATAATAATATTTCGGAAGATTAATAGTCAAGTCAATACGCAATAATTTATAAGTAAATATGTTAAAACATAAATTGCATATTGTATAGAACTATATAAACAATGAATCGTGAATAATCGATTGATATAGCTGTTAAGAAGCAATGCAGTCATGAATGTTAGAGCGACATACTAGGACACAAGAGACTCCAGCTATCAGTTAGTACACTGAGAAAAAAAAATGTCTTTTGCTAAGAATATTTACGAACCACAAGAGAATGTATTTTCTACCGACGTCGGTGGCTCAGTGGTTAGGTGTGAGCCTAGTGTGCTGAAAGTTGTAGGTTCCATTCAGGTGCGCTCAACCTGATGAGCGCGAGTTTGCTAATAGAGCAACCGCTTATACCGACATGGTTTTTCCTGTGGTTTCCCATGTCACTCCTATGTTCTATAGGAGAATGAATACGCTACAGTGTAGGACCCAAAAGCACATGCATAGGGTGGGATAGGGCCGATTAACCAAAACGGGAGGTAGAAAGGGCCGGAACATAGGAAGAAAACGCAAGACAATGCATTTGGCATTAGTAAATTTTATGGGAGTATTTGTATAGTGATTGCCAAATTTACTGAGAAGAAGGAGAAAATATATTTGACAAAAGAAATTTTTTTTTATCACTATAACTGGATGGATGGTTGAAGGAACGCTACCCGGAGTCATTTTTTATGCTTTTTATTAAATCCATGTTTATAAAATACGTAACTAATACGTGTGGAATACGTGTATAGACGGCCCTGCATCGATAATTATGATTTCTTACGCAATTAATCGCCAATTTTACAAGCTCCTATTGGACGGGTGCGGTCCCACAATAGGCGCGTTTGGCAGGTCGTGGCCTGAAATCCCCGTTATGGCCCTAATCTATCAAAGCGTTTCAGTTCAGATATGGACCGGGCGTGACTTGCCTCCCATTATTGAAACTGGACTTCTTTTGAACTAAAAATTTCATTTATTCTCCGTTTGAAAATTGAAATGTTTTATTGCGAAGCCCGAATGACTATTTGATAAAAGATTGGCTTTTTAATTCTTATTTCGTTACTTGGAGAGTTTTCCATCTAATTGAACTCTTGGAAATCGATCAAAAACCAGAATTATAACCAAGGCAAAGAATCAGGGAGAGAAGAGAGTCAGAAAAAAGTCAAAGTCCATCGGATTGGAGGCGATTTAACGAGTCGAGTGGAGTGCCAAAGAGATCGGTAGGGTTACTCTTTAATTGGAGCGACCGTTAAATTAGACCGGACGTCTTTTTAGGTGACTCCCCGTGGAGAGCTAATTGGATCGGTAAATCATCCGGTAACCAGACTGCCAAGAGCTCAGGGGAAGAGGGAGGTGGACTAGTGCCTAGGGAGGCTAGTGGCGCGAGGACCACCCCTTTATTCCGTGTTATTACAGTCTAAAGTTACCCCCCTGTGTAATTGTTACTGTTTAATTGTAAGGTCTATAGTTCTCCTCTTCACTCCTTTACCATTTTGCATTCATCTAAAAAACACTCGATTTCGAAATAATTTTTGACGAAAAAATACTCTATATTGATAGAATATTTATGATACTTTAATAATGTTTACTATGAGCCGATTCCGGCGAATGAATTTTTACTTTTAATTCTTTTCCGTCTAGAAACTTGTTTTGAAACTTCCAGAAATTGTTTGAGAATGTTGCTCCTCTGTTATAATCATTATAAAGGTTTCAATTTTTGTGGTGTTATGAATATATATTAAAAAAATTTGAGATATGTAGTGATGTGACGCTAAAAATCCCTTCCATGGAAAAGACAACAATCACAAGCAAAAACTCGCGGCATGTAGCATTGATGCTCTCTACCTATCGATTCGATCGATTGATTCTTGGAGACAGAATGTGAGTAATGGTCACCAAGAAAGACGTAACGGTACGTTATTTTTAGAAAAACGAGTGATGCGAGGGAAAAAAGTGTCTAGCGACAGTGAGAGAGAGGAGTGGAGCTGTAGCATTGTCGGAAATAGACAATGCGCGACGATAAAAACGTATAATTGATGCTCTTTTGTTCACATTGTTTGAGACGATGTACACGGCCAATGCCTCCCAAAAATCCACACATAACTGTTGTTGCTGCTGGATCTCCACTTATTTGTTTTTCACTATCATCGCTACAGGTTTTTCTTTCGAATCCCCGACTTTTTGTTAATAAGTGTGTATTGTTGCGAGGTCTAGGAACAGGTTTGGCTTTTTCAATTTTCACCCTGATCGTTTGATCAAAAATTACTGCAATTACTTCGCCCAATCAAATCTCGACCAATAAGAACATGGGATTTGATATCACGTGGTGGATATCACAGCGATAATTTTCAGAAATACTACGGCTATTGCTAATCAATAAATCACATGTTTTTTCATAAAATGTCAACATGAAACAAATGAAAAAATATTTAAAAAAAAACAAGACATTTGGGGAAATGAGTGAGAAAAAAGGCAATTGAAAATGGATTTTGAGGAATAATCCGGCGAATACCCCTCGTGCTTGAAAATTAATCGGATATTTCCCTCAAGTTAGTTGAAATACTTATATAGCAAATATACATAAAATTACCTGATATCAGGTAGTTTTTATAGATGTTATACGTATAAGTAGTCCAACTTCTGTCCGTCATACCCATGATTTTTCTCTCATCATTAATTATCATTTGGAATAATATAAAAAATAAGGTAGACTATTTATAGTACTTAGTCGATCCTGACTAGTGAATGAATAATATTTATAGGCAACAGCATTGATTGTTCATTGTAGGAAAATTGAAGATACAATGCCACAGTCAGCCTTAACTGATAGTAGCTTTACAAATTCAATGGAAACAAGGTCAATAGACAATCACGAAAATGACGATTTGTGAAATATAAATCATAATAGTTTTGTAAAATTTTTATTTATGACTATTACTATTTTTTAACAATTGGAAACAACTTCGTGACGATGAAATAACTGGCAAAATATTATTATTATACTATTCCACCCCCGAAAAAATTATCATGGAAATTATGTTCAAGTAATTGTAATTAGCGTTTACCTTTTTCTTTGGCCAATATTTAATATTCTTTGTCAACAAATTGAATTCCTCAAAGGAGCGTATTTAAAAAATCGTCTCAACTTTGCTTGGACAATGCTCAAGGGAAATTATAAGGAATAATAAAAAAAATATTCATGGCATAAACATGAGATTAGAAGTGGAGTGGAGAGATTGAAGGACAATAATTCAAGAAATGAAATGCGGATAAAGGTGAATTGAAGTGAGAGAGAGGGAGAAAAAGGCAATCTCGTTGGGGGCAATTCGATACAAAAATGTCAGCAGTATCCGGATAATTATATAACTGGTGGTGGACGGGCATAGCTGGGGAGTTTAGGGATGAGAAGTCCCGGGGCAAAGACGAGCACACGCGAATACTGTGGAGTGGAGTGGGTTGGAGTGGGTTGGAGTGAGTTGGATGGGGATGGAGGGTGATTTCCCAACTGGCCTGTAAAGCAACCCCCGGAGTGGACTCTGTGTCTCGCGACCAGTTTCGTGTCTTTCTCGATGGCTTATGGAAGCCGCCTTCTGCCCTCCACGACTAGACGTCGAGGAAGAAGCCCCTTTAACAATTTCTCAGACAATTTCTTCGCATTAAAATGCAGATTCACATTTTCGAGGGCTCAATTGTCCTGGATTGCATGAGAAAACATTTACCTGGAATTTTCCAACGAATCATCTTGATAGACAAGTTTATTTTTTCTTGTTTCTCGCCGAAAATTCATGACATTTTTGTTTCTCTCATAGGTCTTGACCACACGGTATGGCTCAATCAAGTCTCAACAACCCTCCAGAGACTCCAATCCTTAACAACCCCAGAATTAACAACAACAGCCACGTATCACCCAGAATGATCTACTTTTACGGTTAGTGCGGGTATTGTGTGGTAATGGTAAGGGGCAGTTAGGGGATAAATATTGACTCCCTGATGGTCAATCAAAGTTTCTCCATGGATTAATGGAAATTATTTACTTACCGGTGATTGCACTGCTGACAGGCGAAACACTCCAAATGGTAGACGTTTGTACGTGCTCTCATTACCATCTCGAAGGCTGGTATTATTTTGGAACAGGCTGCACAATAGCCTGTATTACCAAACAGTCTTAGGTAGTCTCTCTTACAGAGAATGAGGTTGGCCTTTTGGTAGAGTGTTGAGCCTACTTCTCCTAATCGGCAGTCACAGCAGCCGCATTTCAGACAGTCCTCATGCCAGTATAAATCCAAGGCCTTTAGCAGGTACCTAAATCATTTATTTTCATTAACTCAAATTCAATATAATTTCGTTGAAGCGGCTAACTTCAGAAATTATAATACCACTTGTTGTAATTATTTGGAAATTCTGACAATCATTGTATCATTGCAAAATCACACCGACAAACTTGTTGCATTTAGTCAGAAAATTAATTGGATAACTGTAAGCGAGAACTTTTGAATTCTCTAGTGAAATGCTAAAATGAGACCAGTTAACTTCCCTCCTTTTACCACTTTACCACCAAATTCAATCTCCATTGAAAACAACCATTTAAAGCCGGAAAATTGGCGATTTTCTGTTACTATTTTGCTCTCCACAAATTTAATTTACCTTTCAGTAATTATTTTTCCACATCCCGCACACTCTTGTTGTGCGGAGCCATTTTTACTCGTCTCCGATTTGCTCACGTCCATCGTCATGGTGATTGGAACTATTCCGCCGTCTGCAACAACAAAAACATTTGAAATTTATAGTTACTTTACTGGATACAATGAAGTCATCTAAATCAAATACGAAAAAAAAAACCTCGCAAGACTTTGGAACAAAGAAGAAGCCGAAACAAACAGAAAACTCTAACATTATTTTTGTTCGCTTAAAACGAATGTACACTCTCTCTTCTCACTTTTTTCTACCCAGCGAACCATTATTTCCGCACCGGAAGTGACCCGACGTTCTCCCCCTGCCCTGTCGAACTTATCCGATTCGTAGTCTCTTTGTTCCCCCCTGGAAATATCTACACATGAAATAATTCGGAGAAAACACGGAAGATAGATTGTTGAGATTTTCGTCGATCAATTAAATCCCAATGACTCGTGTATTCCAGATTGTGAGGGTGTACCGAGTCTCAGAAAAAAATCACCACTGAAAATTCGATTCCACTACTTCAGAATTAGAAATAATTGACCATAGAACGACCAAACGATTTTCAATAATGAAAAGTTATGAAATCTTTGAAAAGATCATTTTTTTCATCTAATGTAGTTAAGGGTGTGCTACACCCATATATAACCAAAATTATTATTTTTTCATTTTTTTGGCAAACTTTGAATTGACATGGAAAAATGTGACGTTTTTGCTTGTGTCATTATTTAACAACATTAATTTTCTAGGTGGTGCGAACATATTTTCGCGTTTTTCCTAAAGTTTTAAAAAAAATCACAAAATTGTCGAGAAAAGCCATGAAGACCCCTACGAAACTTGGTGAGCCATTAAATAACTATAAAACGCAAACACGTTATGTTTTTTTTTACTTGTATTCCAGCAATAGTTTGCCAAAAAATTTAAAAATAGACCAAACGTAAGAATTTGAAAGAATTCGAAAAATTCGAAGAGCTAGTGGACTGATATGATAACAGGTTTCACAAAAATATTGCACGCTGAAAAATTGATATATTCGAAAATCTATTCAAAAATATTTTAAAATCGGTCAGTTTTCCTTCATGTTCGAGATCCTATTCAGGATTGAAAGGACAGACAGTTCGCATTCACCAACCATCAATGTATGGCAATTGGCCGACACTGTATCAATAATTGGCATGGCTTCCAGTTTCACTAATAATAATTGAAGCCCATATCACACCATAATCTATATGATCATCACTAATTAGTATACATAAGCAAGACACATGAATTCTAATACAACGCGCTTGAGCATAAGGTCTGTTCGATTTCGTATTTCCAAAAAATTTACCAGACCATTTGATTGACAACTCGCAAGCTTCTCAAAAAGATAGTATTACTCCCAAGAACATTTTCTCAACATGCTCAAACTCTTCCAAAAAAAAGATGAGACTAATGAAGGAATGTCAGAGGCAGTCTATAGTCTGGTTAACAAGGGGTAGTTTCGCCGTACACGAGGTTCTACTCACAAATAGGTGTTTTCCTCAAGTGAAATCAGGGAAGGGGTGGGAGCTGGTAGTTTGTGTCCGAGAGACAGTGCAGAACCACGAAGAACGAGAGGATTGAGGGAGGAAGTGTGGAAGAGAGAAATGGGGGGATGAAGAGAAGAAGGGGTTAGGTATGGATGGAAAATGGGTGGGTGGGTGAAAACGGGGGCTTAATTAATTAGCCGGATACTTTGAGTAACAATCCATTATTACATACAAACATTCCCCCGTCCTCTCATGCCGCTCGGAGCCACGGGTATGGCGAGCTTTATGCTGCTAATTGGCCTTCTCAGAGCCGAGAGAACCGTGCGAGTTATAAACGCCAAACTACCCCTTCTCACCCTCCACCCTCCACTCATTGCCCTCCTCTCTCTCTCTCTCTCGGTTGCAGTGGCTTCTTCGTGCATTTCCAACCCCTCAGTCCCCTCTGGCCCGCCGTTCCTCTCGGCATGCTCTTCATCACTGGACTGAGCTCCACCTGCATAACGCAGCCCCCGCGATACCTCGGATGGTGCTAATAACGTGGCCACGCGTGGCTCAACCATAAAAAAAGATAGAGAGCTTGAATTTTTTCCCCCCAGCCAGGCAAAATGGGAACGTATAATTGCCAACCCCCAGTTCTTCTCATTTCTTTTTACGCCTTTTTTTCTCAAGGGGCTTCCTTTGTTTCAGTCTTCCACAGCATTTTGGCGCTTTTTATGGGTAGAGGGGTTAATTAGAGGAGGATTTACGCTGGATTTTTCAATTCAATATCGACTGTTTGGCTTTAAAGATCATTTAATCCTTTCACTTTAACGGACATTCAAATACTCAGGAGAATTGAGCTGCTACAATTTTCTTTGGCTAATTTTTTAGATAATGCGAGATAGTACCATGTATAGCAAAACAAGTAGGAATAGTTTTATATTTTTTCAGATAGCAATTGATTTTCTAATGGATACTAATTTTTATAATTTCATTATTATTATATCTGTTTGAACATTCTGTAATTATTGCGTATTTAACTTCGATGGAAGTTTTTTCAATTACTCCTGACTTTCATTACTTCTCAAATACTTTTATGTTAATTCAGTACAATTGAAATAGCTAATTAATTAAATAGCTAATTAAACTATACAGTTATAAATTCATTGAGATAATTGTGCAAGTAGTCTTACAATTCAATCACGTAAAATCGATGTTAAATGTTGACGAAATTGCGAGAAAATTATGGGTAATTACCACAATGAAGGAATCAATTGAAGAATTCCAAAAATAGGTTCTACATACACATGTCGTGAGTGTTCCCCAAATAATCGTGTATTTAGAGTTTTAGTCCACATTTGGTTATCCTAACCGAAAAAAAACAAATTTTCGTAGCAAAAAAATGAAGTTCTTGATGTTCCAGCATTAAAAAAACACATTTTATCAAACTACTTATTTTACATAAATATGTGCTACTCTAATATATAATTATTGGAATTTTTTTCTCAGAATTTCCACTTTGCTCATTGAAATTCCAGTGGTGCCTGTATTTGTATTTTCACATTGAAAAAAAAACTTTTGATATTGGATATATAAAACACGAGGTACTGATATTGAATATCTCTTGACGTGGTCAACGACGCATTATTATTTTTATATGACAATATACTTTATTTTATTTTTATTGAAGAAAGAAAAGAGATTACGAGAATGTGCCCTATCAGCGATATATAGGACAGGAGAAACGTCCGTCGTATAGCAGTCGTTCCGGACAGGGCATTTTCCGTAGGGGGCAGAAGGTGGGTTTGGAGAAGTTGGTTTAATAAAAATGTCAAATATAAAGTAGCCGGCGGGGACGGACGTTTAGGAAATAAATGAATGTAAAGGAGACGGCCGAGGAAGTCGGAATATACGGAGTACGGAGGAATATGGCATCGATATAATATTACGACTTTTGTGGGGTCAGTCGGGTCATTCCGAATGCAGTTCCTGAACGCATCTGTTATTTATTATATGTCGTGGGGAGTTTACAAATGATTTCTTCCGAGTCCGAACATATTCAGACATTTTCCCTTACTACAACCAGAAAAATGAATAAAGAATACCTATTTAATCATTGTATTGCATTAAAATGTATTGTATAAAAATGATCATACTAATAAATACAGTAGTTATCAATATTTAGAAATGAGGAAATTCCTTCTGAGTGGACTTCCTTTTTAATGCTCGTTTCATCTATTTCAAAAGCATGTTCATTATAGATGGATCAACGACCTCTCCCGCAACATATTTATCATTTATTATGATATAAAGTTGCAATTAAAAATTAGTCAGTCTCTATCGGAAATTCAGAGGATAATTAATAACCCCAACAAAAAAAATTACAACTCGATAAATTTGAAGGACTGCAAATCTTCCATTATGGGAAACTATTATCATTAGATCGCGCGGAAAGCGATAGATCACTAAAATGATACCTTAATTAATTTTTTTTTTTTTTTTTCAATTGGAAAGTTTTCATTTAGAGAGAAAAAATAAGGGATTTTGCCTTAAGTATGAAATTTTAATAATGATTTGCAGACTGACGAGGCACAGTTGCACCCAGAGACTTGTGTGTCATTATACTATGAACCTGAGTGGCTGCTAATTAGTCATTAGCGGAGGAAAAAGACACCTCGAACGACGAGTCTGTGTTAGAGTGTGTAGAAGTGGTGGGGAAGTGAGAGGAGACTAGCATGAAGCGTTTCTCGACTATAACGTTGCGAGAAGGCTACCCCCAGTAGAAAGCCTGAGCGCAAGCTTGTGCAAACAGAGTGTGTAGCTTCAACCGTCGGGCGTCTAATTGGACCCCAGCGACATAAGTTCGACTAATTGAGACCACCGGACGGCTCTGGTTTAATTTTCGTGGCGTTTCGACTATATCAAAGACATGAAAATGTCTCTGGTAGCTTTTTTTTTGCAACAGCCGTGGAAGAAAAAAATTCCTTGGAATATAATTTTTTTCGCATTTGGCTGCAGTTAACGAAGGGGGAGGGGGCGGTACTTGTGTGCGTGCAAGTAGAGGACTGTCTCCTGCCCTCTTACCGTCCGCCAGGAAGCTTGTTAGGCATTGCTCCCCGTGTGCCTTCGTATCTTCTAATTGGCGATATAATGATCCTGAAGGATGAAATTCAGGGGTGGGGAATGTTAGGTGAGGGTGGATGAAGAGGACTGTAAGCCTGGACTGCCTGGTGCCCAGGCTCCTTCTCTCGTTCCCTCGTTAGGGGCTGAAATTAAAATTTGGCTCTATTTTTTTTTCCTATGGTTTTCTTTTTTAAATCTTACTCTTGTCCCAGCCTCGGCTCGTTATGAGCCTTCCAATTTATGGACTCTTGAGGATATGGAGGGAGCAAATTCAAGTTTTTGTTTTATTAATGTCTCAGCATTTGTCAGGGTCGCTACCAAGCTTCTTCAAGATGAATTATACAGCGGAATTCTCAAATCATTCGGTTACTTGCATGTTAACAATAAGATTGTTATATTATTGCATGATGAATTCATCAATTTGTGAAGTTCGTGGATTATTTTTTTAATGAAATTTTTCAGAAACAGA